TTTTGTTTTTGTTTTGTTTTTCATTTACTTGCATCAACTCGTGTAACTGTTTTGCGAATGAATTTACACGCACGTAATGTAAATGTAAAATGTGTACGCGTGTGTATATTACAAAATGGGAAATCGCTGAGTTGTGAGAAAGAGAAGGAGGGGAGGGAGGGAGAGATGGCGGTGAGGGTCGAGTGTTTGGCAAACGCAGCGACATGTTTGCCGAAATCTTACGGCAAAATCTGATTACTCTCCCTCTCTCTTTCCCTAGTGCTCCCCTCATATACATGTGCGGTGAGGCACGCGCTATACTATATTACTTTGCTCACCTAATACGCGCGCGTGTATATGTAAGGTATATGCGTGGGTGTCCTCGTTTAGTAGAGCTTGCTTACCCGTGTACCTCTTCCTCCTGCTATCTCTGGTTACCCCCCCCCTCCCACGCACACCTTTCTCTCTCTCTTTCTCTCTCTTACATTGTGTATACGTCACGGAGAGGAAGAATGAGATTGAATTTCGCGCGAAATCACTTGTTTGCTCGCTTGGATTCCGATAACGCGAATTTTTTATTTTCCCCCTTGTCATTCAATAGCCATCAGGGCGTATTGGCCAGGTGCAAGTGAAGGGAGGGGATAGATGAGTCGACGCCAGCGTGCGTAGTGGCAAAAATAGGAAACCTGGGGTACCAAATGACTGTTATTTTTGCTTAATTAAGGAAAGAGTAACAGTATTTCGTCAAATTTACAGATGTTATCATCACATATGCATAAATAGTATCAACATTATGAAATTGCAGTTACAGTAATGTAAAAAAAATGAACTATGTGGTGCCAAGAACGGTTGTAAAATGAAGCCTCGTTAGTTTTCGATCCAGAGCACACTCTCAGAAGCAGACGGCAAAAAGAGAGATAAATACGCGAAATAAGACATGATCAAGGGTGGCGCTGCATGACATGCACCTGGCCCAATACATTATACATCGGAGCAAACGATGAGTCCCTCCTGCAGTAAAATGAATCGTATTACTGGTATAGGTAAATACCTACTTACATACAAACAAAGGAAGCAGAAAAGGTGTAGTAAAGACGAAAGGAGCCCAGTCACCCCAAAGTACAGAGCTTTAAACCAATTGGAGGCTATACATAGATATACTCGATCCTGGGTGATCAGCACCACATGCATATAGGCTCCATCATCAATGGGGTATATATGGCGAAGGTGAAAATGAATAGGTAGACGCGTTAGTCCCGTTCTTTGCCTCCAACGGGGGAGGCGAAAGGGGCTGAGCCGAGAGAGCGGAGGAGGAGGGCCGCCTGACGAGTTTACCCGACGGTAAATATTCGCTCTGCGTCCATGCATTATTTAACCTTCTACTGGCTCCTCCTCTCTCTCTCTCTCTCTCTCTGCCACCATCTCTCATCTATCTGTGTATATGTATACCTATCTGAAACGCGGAAAGAGAGAGAATTATGTTTCCCTTGCATTAACACACACACACACACACACTCCCGCGAGCACAGAGCGCGGAGCTTGCGCCTCTTTTGCTATAATATACGCACACGAAATGTACACGTACTATTTGTACAGCCGGTATACACGTATGCATGCACATTATACCTATCCCATTTTCTTTTGCCCCTTTTTAATCCGTTCACCCCCCCCCCCCGCCCAACCCTACCCTATCTATCTCTTTGTATCTTTTGTTTCACTCGCCGAGCTGCCTCTATGCAGCTATTGTTCCGACTTTGTGTACGGAGAGTAAACCCTCGAGCTCTGATTTATTTTTCTTTCTCTTAGATTTTTCACGAATTGTGCGTATAACGTACGTATACAGCGCGCACGAAGCGTATAATGAAATACTTAACGCTCGAGGATTACCAGTACCATCGTACCCCGTGCCCCCCCCC